CTAGGTAAAGTGACAGCGGTTCACCAACCTGATTATAGCCCCGGATGTCGGCTCTTCGTTCTGTCACTTTGGTGAGGGAAAACACCTGCACCTCACGGGACGGTAGTAAGTAGGGCTTCCTCAACAGAGACTATTTGAGGTGCTTGGTCACGTATAGGATGACTACGCTAGGTGCTGGGGAAGGGTGACCAGCCAAAACTCAAGACCATACTGAGGCTTTCGGAGGTTGTGTAGTGGATACTAAAGTAGAAATTCTTGAATAAAAACAATAGCCATATCACTAAGAGCAACTACATCGTAAATTAGGTGTATGCTAAAACCTAACACACTATTGCCACTGTGACGGAGAATAATCCTGGGTAAAACTCAGACCAGCTGAGCTACGAGGCCACGGGCTGGTAGACGGTGTGCTGTACGACGGGCGTAGGCAGCGGCCATGAGTCGGCGGGGGGGGGGGCGAGGCAAATCCGATCGAGGCAACTGACCTTACACAATTTCTACATAAAACTTCAATCTGCCACACATCAAGTTGAATAGAAACTTGCAACGGGAAAAGATTTACCGCTACAAATCGAAGAAGAAAATAACAGAAGAGAAAAAAACATCCAAATATGTACGCGTTTCGAACATAGACTCGGCTACACGCATTCTTACCTCTTCGTCTAAACTTTCCACTGTGGCCTTCAGATGCGCTCGTTCCACCATCGCATGTGAAAGCCGTTCGCGAAGTGTGAGAAATTCTGCGTTGCTGGATTTCAGCTGTTCAGTAGCTTCCTGAGCCTCCTGTTCAGCCGCACGAAGTCGTCTCATCAAATGTTCGGTGTTTGTATTCACTCCATCCCGATCATCATCGGATCGATGGAGCTCTGAAGGAAATTTCGACGGGGCAGCAGTTTTAGTCACGGGTACAACAGCTTTGTCAGTCATCCATTGACCACGTGATGCAAGCAAATCTATTCTGAGCAAATCCAACACCTCAGACATTGTTCGCAGTTTGCCCGTATCCACAGGGTTGCGGGATTCCGTGGATAACTTTTTGCCGATTTGACCAATCGATTTTTCCAGCCAATCGGATAGAAATGCAACCGCGTGGGCAAAATTCTCCTCAGCTACGAATGAAAGAGACAGAAAACATGGATTTACTGAATTGTAACTTCGTCAACAAACTTACGCATGACACGACAGAAGCGATGAACCGCCTAGACGTTACACCATGTAGGGAACGGGACGCGAGATACCACGTGACATAATATGCTGTAATCGACTGATGCAATCTCACCTAAATGAGTGCCAAGAATGGGTTCAATACATCCCTGTGAACGTTCTTGATTAATGTCTGAAGGACGCAATTAGATCGCAGAATTTCCAAATCTGTACGGACATCAGTATGCATTTTATCGCGCAGTATTTCAAATCATATACAGTCTGACGGCCACCCGTTCAGAACTGTCTCATACGCATATCGTACAAGCCGAACAATTTTGTGATCCTGAAATTCGTATGTTTCTTGATGATAAACAACAACGATCAATCGAAACGTCCGACAGTAATAGGACACAACGAACACTGATCAATAGCGGAATCATGCATACAGACTTGACCGTGCTCCGCAGTAGGCGAACCGTACAATTAAATGATCAAGAAGAATGTAAACACTCAACCGAGCGGAATCTAACGAGAATTGAAACCGGTATTTTTTTCTTCACAGAAATCACAATACATGGTACAGATAAACAAAGGTCAGATTGAAAGAAAGAAAGAACACTATTCACAAAAAGAAAACTTATTTGAATCATCAACATGTTGTTCTCCTAATCATCTACGATGCTTTAGTCACCGTAACACTCCTCTCCGGAAAGCCACTTGATATTATTATACTAACTGTAACTGTTTGTAAACAATTTAAATTCATATCCAGAATAAATACACATCGTAGACAATGATCACAAAGAATAACAAGGCTGTCCTATATTCCCATTCTTTTTCAACTTTTGTCATAGAGAATGTTCTACAGAATGATTTGATCTGATCTAGCAAACGGTCGAGTCAAATTCCTCTCAGGGAATAGAGTTTTTGATTTAGAATATGCCGAGGACATCGTCTTGTTGGACAACAATACACAGGCAGTTAAACAAGCTTTATACCACTTGGCGATAGAGGTATCCACGTATGGTATGTGCTTTGCACCATCAAAGTGCAGAGTGCTTGTTCGAGACTGACAAAAGCCTGTACCTGCACTCGTCCCCTTGTGGTGATCAGTTGGAAGTTGTTGTTGTACCTCGGGAGCTTGATCGTAGCTGATGGTGATGTTAGGGAGGAGATCAGATCACGAATAGCGAAAGATAGAGCAGCTTTCGCCAGTGTAAGCACTTGAGCACGATATGTTTCGTGGTAGCCCACACGAACAAGAGGCTTGTTCCTTGGAAACCAGGTCCGGAGCCTGTGGACTCAGTCTAACCTTGTTTGGTCTATAATCAGACACGCGATGTTATGGTTATTTGTTCTGTAATATGAATGGAGGATTATTTTATTTGATAAGATGATGAACTCGTCGTGTGGATGAGGCGTGAGCTGAAAAGCAGGGAAGTCAAATTGTGAAAGTTTCTAACCGAATCATAACCCCCTGGAGGCTAGTGCTCAGATGAGCGAGGACCGATACTCACAACAAGCTCACAAAAATGTGTTCTGCTATATCGTGTATATTTCAGATGAGAAACGGTCTGATTCTGTGAGGTACTGGGTTTGATCCCAAATCGGCGGTCGATGGATTCGCACTACTGAGAAGACTCAACCAGGTCGAAACAGCTGCCCAGTGCTTTCCAGATTTTCAGCTCACGCCTCATTTACAAGACGAATTCATCATCTAACTTCGTTGCTATTTTTAAACGTATGGCTTCAAAAACCTAGAGCAGACCCGAAATGACCTGGTTATGAGTACCTCCGAAATAAAAAGGATTTCACTTTCAGGTTTCACAACGATCAACAACCATGCAGTTTTATGCGCCGATTTTGGTTGCTGTTCTCCGGCTTCCCATTCGGATGAAAGAGCAGAAGGGAGATTGGAATGATGAGAACAGAATCAAAGTGAAGATGTGCAATTCATACAGACTGAGGGTTGTGAGAATCGATGAGTAGATGCACGAGCGCCACTGTTTTCGACACCCGGCCATATCACTCAGTGTGTCTCTAACCAACGGGGTTACCACGATCTCGGGGTTCCCATCCAGGGAGTCTAACGGGACATATGTGACCCAGTTTCCTGATTAGGGTTTTCATACCATCGTGCTTCATGTCTTAGTTTGACCGCTATTGGCCTTGTATATTCGCTACCTCGCTGCCTCGGCAAACATAGCACACCGTAGTATGATGGCACAATAGAGGATAGAGTAGAAAGCGAATGGGGACCTCAAAAACGCGGTCCTAGAAGGAGACATTTCACCGGAAAAATCTCTACACAGATGATCAATGAAATGCAAATCAGAACATAACTTACGCGAGAATTGACCAGTAGTGATGCCTGTGGTCTGTCCATCCAGCGCGCTCCCGGGTTCTTTGGTTTGGAGCTGTAATCTTACAACTGGTGTGTCTCGATGCTCTGCAGTGAGCGATTCTACTTCCGGCGTAGAAACATCTGTAGCCAGATGCTCTTCTCGTTTGAATGAAGACGAAGAACCGGTTCTCCGTACTTTTTCCTCGTCCATTCTTCTCGCCTGGTGTTCCCGAGTGGCCATCTCGATCAGCATTTCGGCCTCTCGACGTTTTTGTTGTAGTTCAACCTCTAACTGATGCACACGTACTCGGTCAGATTCCACGGTCTGACGTTCTTGGGCTAGCCGGTTTCGTTCGCGTCCCAGTTGAAGCATGTCGTTCTGCAACTCCACACGCTGGGACTCAATCTGGGCTTCGTGTGAATCGATATCCTCCTTCAGTTTGGTCTCTCGAGCAACCAGCGCTTCGTGTTTCCGTTTCAGTCGATCTGCCTCAAAACTAAGACGACCGTTCTCTTTCTGCAGCTCCAACTCTTTATCTCTTAGAGCGTGTTCAAACTCTCCGAGCTCCTTTTCCCATTGTTCTAGCCTTACTTTAGATGGAGCCGTGTCCACTACAGACGTCGTCAGTTGGGTGGGGGCAATGTGTGCGTCGCCAAGATCTGTCTGACAGGAACGATCGGACCCGGACCGCTTCCCGGGGTCAGTGTCCAAGGTACCGGCTGGTTCCTGTACTGTAGAATCGATTGGTACCTCCGAAGTGGAACGAGCTTTCGTCTGTAACAAGTCTAACAAACGTTGCAATCGTTGACAATTGGAGCAAACTAACTGTTCCAGCCCCATGCTGGCTGCCGAGTCAGTCCGACCGTTTAAACCGACCACCGCTTGAAGTCGGTTGATTTGCAGGCGAAGTGATCGAGCATCTGCATGCGCCTCAGCCAACTGACCCCGCAGACTGGTAGACTCTCGGTCTGCTGCGGCTTTCTGAACAGCCATATCTGAACGCAACTGGGACAGTTCCGTTTGGGTCATGCTCAACTGGAGAGTCAGCTCGTCGATATTGGCGGACGGAAGAAGATCCGGTCGATCCATTCCCACAGGCGATGGTCGTGATGAGCCTGGACTTGCACTAGCCGCTAGGATTCGTGTCATTGATGAGATGGG